TCGCCGGCGTCAAGAAGCGCCTCATCGCCGGCCACGAAGCCGCCGTCGAGGCTTCTTGGCGCCGCCTCCTCGACGCCCTCAGGACCGAAATCGCCGACATCCAGACCAGGGGCTCCGATCTCATCCCCTCCATCAACTTCACCGACATCAACGACCCCGTGCGCGTCGAGGCCTTCGCCCACCGCCTGCGCAGATACGGCGTCGCCGTCATCAAGGGCGTCGTCTCTCCCACCGACGCCCAGAGCTGGGTGCAGGAGACACACGAGTATCTAGACAAGAACCGAGAGTTCAAGCCGCCGGCGCTACACGACCCGACCTGCATCGACCTCTTCTGGACGCCGGTGCAGGTCCGCGCCCGCGCGCATCCCAACATGCTGCGCGCGCAGAAGTTCGCCATGTCCTTCTGGGAGTCGACGGACGACCTGCACATCACGCGCGCCCCCGTGAGCTACGCCGATCGCCTGCGCATCCACAACGACAAGCTGGGCGCCGTCGGCCAGCAGAACGGCAACTCGGCCGCCGACTCCCTCAACGCCAGCGCCGTCATCGCCCAGATCGACAGCGGCAGCCTCGAGCGCTGGGAGCCCGACGGCTACGGCCGCGGCGGCGCCTACGAGGCCGTCTTCCGCGGCGACTGGGAGTCGTACGACCCCTGGGACCCGGCCGGCCGCGTCGGCGCCACCACAGACCTGTACAACGGCGCCGGCGCATGCAGCATCTTCCGCATGTTCCAGGGCGTACTGGCGCTCACCAAGGTCGAGCAGGGCATGGTGCGCGTCCTCCCCTCGCCCAAGCTCGTCGCAGCGTACTTCCTGCTCCGGCCCTTCTTCTCACCGAAACGCGGCCCGCCGGAGCAGCCGGACGGCGGCAAGGCGGATCAATGGGCTGCCTACCTCGACGCGTCGAACTGGACGCTCGACCCGGAACCCAACACCATCATCCACGGCGCCGTTCCCGGCCACGCGCAGCGTATCACGGAACGATGGCACCCGCATCTGCATCTCCGGAGGAGCCTGGTGTCTCTGCCCAGCATGCAGGCGGGCGACTACGTAATCTGGCATTGCGACCAGGCCTACTCAATAATCACGGGTGGCACGAGACTCGGCGTCCCGCCCTCACTGCAAAACGAGACTAACGAGCTGTCCCTCTTGACTTACACCCCCGTGTGCCCGTTGACCCAGACCAACGCGCTCTTCCTCGCCCGCCAGCGCAAGGCCTTCCAGACCGGGCAGCCGGGACCGGACTTTGACACCCTGTTCGCTCTAGGCAGCGAGGCCTCACACCAGGACCGTCCCGGTGCCAAGGAGGTCGAGGAGTACGGTGGAGTCGACGGCCTCAGGGCCATGGGTCTGGCGCCGTACGACGTCGAGCCCGCCGGCGCATCGCCCAAGAGGGAGCTGAACGGGGGTGGTGACGCGATGGACATTGACGACGAAGAGGGCTTGCGCAACAAGTCCAGGACGGAGTCGGAGCAGGAGCTTCTGAGGCTCGCGAACATCATCCTCTTCCCCAACCGCTACGACTTTTACATCCCGACGAACGGGAACGGCACCCGGAGCAGCGGTGACCGGACGCCGCGCGCGCAGGGAGCGCCTCCCAAGACCAAGGTGAATGGGGCAAAGAGCTGACGGCGTTGGTTGAAGGGGCGGTGGCGGCGTGGCGGTAAGCGTCTTTCGTCGAGCAGAGACGAGGAGGACGAGGACGAAGATGATGAGCATGAGCCGGAGACCGTTGTTGAGACCGAGACCGTGGCCTCCAAGGTTAACGAGAAGGATACCATAACAGTCACGGTCACCGCGGCGGAGGTCTAGATTGCGTTTTTCTTACCATGATACCCTGCAGTCTGGCCATCCGTCGGTCGGAATGAGAGAGAGAGACGGAGAAAGGATGGAGAGAGTGAGGAGGAAGAGTAGGAATTCTGTGAAACCGCCCCCTTCAACGTGACGCTGGAAAGCAAGCAAGCAAGCAGACATGTATGCGCAGACGATGATGATGATGACGGAGACTCGACGTTACGAGACGGGATCCGTCGAGGATAGATCGCGATTAGATGTAGTGGAAACAGTCGACGATTGGTACGTGTAGTACCTAGACTATCAGACAGACACACACATATTGCATTGATGGAGCTTGGCAGGGCCCGCTTTGAGGCCGCGATGTGTTCTCTTTTTTGCTGTTACCAATTTCCATTTTGTTTTCAATTGCGTCGGTTGGTCGAGACTTTCGGACGAATTATCGCAATTGGCATCAACGATCAAGGTGACTAGTGCCTAGTAGAGGAGAATCACAAGCTGCAAGCATGGGGAGGCTTGGTTTTGAGTGCCGGCCGGGACGTTGCCGGCTCAGTGTTAGACAGGGACCGGGACGCATTCCCGGTTCACCAGTTCTCGAGACGGACCACCACCGGCCCCTGCTTTGCCGCCATTTCTCAACCGGCAGAGTACATCTCGGGCTGTCAATTGATCCCGTGTGACTCGTTGGTCGTCATCCACGCCCTTTATGAGGTTGGAGGTGAGATAGGAGAAACGAGTATATAGTTTTCGGTTCTCTCACGCAGCGCCCCGTTCCGCAGTAATATGTGTTTGCTTGTGAACATCTACAACACCACCATACATAACACCAATCAATACAACAAACACGGAGGCCGCGCGCGGAGCCATCGCCGCACACGCAGGTACCCACGCGGCGCGCTCCCCCGCGGTCTGCTCCCGGTTTCCATTTGTTGCCAATCGGCGTTCCGGTCTGTCATTATCTTCCCTTGATCCGAGCTCTGACCGGTCGGAGCCCATCGTTCGTTTCTGTTGCGCGCCAGCGAGGAAAAACCCCTCTCGGTCTGGGTCCTATCTTGGCCTCTTAGCGTGCTGGCGTGACCCATAACGCGACGGAAAGTACGTAATGAAAGCTCACGCCAAAAAAGAGGAACCTCATCCAGGTCGAGTGTCGCCGCCGAGTGCACGCGGCGCTCCGTGATAGCCAATTCCCCGGATGTGGGTGGCACTTGGGGGCACTGGCTGGACTGCCAGGACTGGGCATCAAGTTGGCAATATGACCAAGGGTCCTTGGGATTCCGGTGCCTGAAACTCACTCCACTGTCGTCTGATTTTGCTATCGTTCTGGAAGCCTTCTGGCTGCGTCTTTCATTGGCAGAGACACCGAGACTTGGCAAGTCCAACATGATATTGTGCGGGAGTACTCTACTCTGTACGGTTAGTCCTTGTCTCTTGAAAGTCTCTTCTTCTTCCCAGCTCTGCTCTGCAGCAGGGCGAAGAACCTGAACAGCAGCAAATGCGCCCTATGCAGCCTGCAGCCAGCGAGTCAGTCCCGACATTCCCGCCAAACCACGATGGGGAGGGCGCCATGCCGTGCTGGGTTTGGCCGGTCGGGGTTCTACCCGCTTTCTATGTTCCTGTGCAGCCTGCAGGATGCCCTGGAACGTTCTGCCAAATGCCACCGCAAATCATCCCGCCCCCTGTTGGAACACCTGAACTGAAGGTCTTTCAGGTCCTTCAATACCTACCTCACTGCCGGTATGCATGTTCAGGTTCCGGGAGACAGACATGTTCGTTCGTTAACCGCGAGCTGTCAGCAGCAGCAGCTAAGAAGCCTGATGTGCCATCTTGCCAAGCAAAAACATGCAACGCTACACACCATTATCGGGGTGGCCGCCGGCCCAGCACGCGGTCAATTATTATCTTTCGGCAGTGTGGCAGCCAAGCAACCAAGGGATTGTGCCCCAAGTTTCGCCTCTCATTTTGTCTCTGGAGTCTTACTCCAAGGCTCCAAGGGCCAGCGACGTCCGTCGGATAGTGGCTTGTTTCTCTATGTTCAAGTGAACGACCATTGAACGAATCCGACGTCGGATGGTCTCGACCCATTGCCAGGCCTGACAGACTGGTGAACGGGCCAAAGGCTTGACATGATGGCCGAGGTCCTTTCCTTAGCGACGATTGGGCGATCCAGGAAGCCGAGAGACGCGGAAAATGCTTGTCTGCGTGGGACTGTTCCCATCGAAACAAGACGCAGCAGTACCTGATATTACATCGGAGATTTTTACTGTTTACATGTACACACTGCCCTTGTCTCTCGGATCAGTGGCTATCGTCGGCAACCGATTGACCATTCTTCATCATCTTACCCCAATGTTTGATGTGATTCTCATGCAATTGACGCCGCTGGTATCTCATCAACGGTGGGACTGCGGCGAAACATGGGTGGGAGACAAGAGGGAGCAACCGGGGGGGCAAAAGATGCAACTCACAACTCTTACTCACAGATCAACCAAAACCACCCTTGGGACCACAGCATTATGAACATCTTTTGAAAGGGCCTTCGCTCCGTTATCGTCGGTATCGGCCGCCCTGACGTTGCTCTGACAAGGGTTCCCCCCCGCGCCCACCGCACCCATTGATCGCCCCAGCCAGCTGCCACCCATTCACAAGCGTTCCCCGGCCGTTTCTGCTTATCTGCGTGGGGACCCTATTGCCGTACGCAGACGGGGCCCCATCGACGGTTGGTCTTGTCTATCATGACCCGAGTAAGTTACATACTGCGTTGTAGTAGTCGCTTTCTCTCTCACCTCCCGCACTGCGCGCGCACACCTAGTATGCAGTACACGCGCATCCCAGGAACCGCCGAACCGGGAGACGTCAGATGAAGGTTGGGTGGCTAGCCGGGGAGGGAATGGATCCGCGCGGACGACGCAGAGGAGGTAGCGTCGGGGGAACCAGGCAAGCCAGGGGCCACGAGCCTGCGAACTGCTTCCGGCATCTCTGATAGAAATAGATGGCCTGCCTCGCTCTCACCCCTCGGCCTGTGGTTCCCGCGGTGTCCTCGTCTTCCCTATCCCAAACGGTCTGATCGGCGTCGTGAGCATTAGTTGCCGACCCTGCAGCACAAAGAGTCCGAAGAAAGACTATTCTCACCACAGTCCTTCTCTGAGAATAATTCGGACCCTAGACCTTTGAGTCAAAACACCACACTGCCAGCATCAACCCGCCATCATGGCTGCTGGCATGGAAGAAAAGACTGTCGGCCTCTCCCGCGCCGACAGCACCAATAGCAACAAGCTCGGCCAGGTCGAGTCGGGCAACAATGCCGCCGTTGCACAGCAGTACGGTGAGACCGTTCGTGGTCTAAGCCCTCGTCATGTTCAGCTCATGGCCATTGGAGGTTCCATCGGTACTGGTCTTTGGGTATGTTTACTTCCCGCGATGATGGCCTCACTTTCAACTCAAGCTAACCCCTTTACCAGGTCGGTATCGGCGGTGTCCTCTCCAAGGCCGGCCCTCTCTCGCTCGTCCTCGGATACACCTTCTGGGGTCTCCTCTTCATCTGGCCCCTCAACCTGTCCGTCGCCGAGATGTGCGCCTACCTGCCCATCCGCGGCTCCATCTTCGAACTCGCCTCTCGCTTTGTTGACCCTGCTCTCGGATTCGCCATGGGATGGACCTACTTCTTCGCTGGTCTCATGCTCGTGTGTACAGAATACAGCGCCGTCGCAACCGTCATTCAATACTGGAACTCCGACATCAACGCCGCCGCTTGGATCGCCGTCGCCATGGTCTCGTGTGTCGCCGTCAACTTGATTGCAGTCAAGTACTACGGCGAGTCCGAGTTCATCATGGCTTCAACCAAGGTCGTCCTCTTGATCGGTCTGTGCCTCGTCACCCTCGTCACCATGTCCGGCGGCAACCCCATGCACGATGCCTACGGCTTCCGCAACTGGGGCGATGGCAACTACATCCACTCCTACTTCACCGACGGTGCGACGGGTCGATTCCTGGGTTGGTGGAAGGTCGTCATCTACGCCGCCTTCACCATTGCCGGCCCCGACATGATTGCCCTGGCCGCTGGCGAGATCCAGAACCCCCGCCGCACCATCCCTCGCGTCGCCAAGCTCATCTTCTACCGTCTTGTCGGCTTTTACGTCGTCGGTGTCCTCTGCGTCGGCATCATCTGCTCCTCCCGCGACCCCGGTCTGCTGGGTGCCATTGAGAACGGCGAGCCCGGTGCCGGTGCCTCCCCCTGGGTTGTGGGTATCAAGAACCTGCACATCAAGGCTCTTCCCGACATCATCAACGCCTTCATCCTGCTTTCCGGATGGTGAGTTTTCTTTTGCTCTGCCAACTTCTACTCTATACTAACAACGCCTAGGTCCTGCGGTAACGCCTACCTATACTCCTGCTCCCGAACCCTCTACGGTCTCGCCCGCGACGGCCAGGCCCCCAAGTTCCTCCAGAAGTGCACCAAGGCCGGCGTGCCCATCTACTGCGTCCTCGCCGTCACGCTCATCTCGTGCATCACCTTCCTCGTCTCCTCCAACGCCGCCGTCGAGGTCTTCTTCTGGTTCGTCGACCTGACCACGACCGCCCTCATCATGACCTACACCTTCATGCTCATCACCTACATGGGCTTCTACCGCGCCCGCGTCGCCCAGAACTTCCCTCCCGAGACGCTGCCCTACATCGCGCCCTTGACGCCCTGGTTCCCCGCCCTGGCCCTGCTTTTGGGTTTCCTCGCCCTCATCTTTGTCGGCTTCGACAACTTCTACCCCTTCAGCGTCCGCGGCTTCATCACGTCCTACTTTGGCTTCATCTTTGGCGTCTTCACGTTTGTCATCTGGAAGGTCCTCAAGCGCACGCGCTTTGTCCAGCCCAAGGAGGCCGACCTCCTCAGCGGAAAGGCCGAGGTCGATGCCGAGTGCAGACATTGGGAGGAGGGTGGTATTGAGGAGGTGGAGAGAGCGAGACTGGCCCAGATGTCTGTTGCCCGCAGAACCTGGGAGAAGATGTGGTAAACAGCCACAGTAATCTACAAGATACCTGAATTATCGTTTCAATGACAAAAAGTTTCATCATCCACAATGCTCTCTACGCGTATGTCTCTTTCGGTAATGGGCTGTGTAACCCAAGTGAACCTCGCCTCCCTTTGTCAGGCCATGTCTTTCAAAGCAATTCGCCGTGGCCCGGCTTCCTCTTGGCCGAAGACAAGCATCAGATCCCATCGTGTCCAGCCGCGGCAAACCCACATCTTCCCCAGAACCCCAGGCCAAGCACCACCCATCCTCAAGACGGAGACTTGTCCGCGTGTCCTTGTCGACTCCATCGCGACCCTCCAGTGCTCCAATTCCTCGCATTCCCCAACACAAAATTACGTAAACTAGCCTCCCCCGCACGGCGACTATGCGGGGTTCAAACGGAGTCGTCCGTCCCCTGCACTTTCACCTGTGTGTGTGCGCGGTCTAGTTCCTGGTAGTTCCTCAAGCCGTGACCTCATCTCGTTACGTTTGTTGGTTAGCGCCGCCAGACAAAACAAGGCCGGCCCGGTCCCTGTGTTGCACCCAGAGAGAAACCGACAATCGGAGTTGAAGCCCACCTTGCTTGCTGCCCAAGCGATGCGATCAGCAAGATACTCAACCTCCCGACAGAAAGCCTGCCGCCAATGCGTCGCCGCCAAAGCCAAGTGCGATCGGAAGCCCGGATGTTGCGCGCGGTGTGAACAGCGGGGACTCCCGTGTGCATATGCACCGACAAGTCACACCGCGCCGCAGCCAACGCGGTCCCGGCCGGAGTTGAGCCCCTCGGGTCCGGAAGACGACACGGAGACGCCCGGGCGAAGGGACGCTGGCAACCATCTGCCGTCCCCGGAGCATGATGCGTCCAATGATTCGGTTTACTCGGCTTACTCGGCATCAGCCTCGGCGCCGACTGATGCCGCTGGTATTCATGACCCTCCGGGGCCGGGTTCGCTTCCCCCGGCCAACACCGGAGTTGAGCTGGACTTTTCCAACCTGAACCTCATGTGCCCCATCAACCCCGACGATATTGCGAACCGATGGCTGCACAACTTCGTACCATTGCCGGGCCAGACAGTCAAGAAGTACACCCCAAGCATCTCCGCCTTCATCTATCGGGTGCTGCAATCCTACGCAAACTGCGCAATCCGCGGCCACAGGTTTCCACCCTTCATCCACTGGTCGCAGCTGAACTCCCCATCCAGTGTGCCCCTTTCGACATGTCTATCAGTGATACGCATGTGTGCCAACCCACATCCAGGCAGCGAGGGCGTCATCGCGGAGGTTCTCCAGCGGGAAATGACTAAACTCTACGACAGGAAGACAACCTTTGACGACATGACCCTGCTGGCGGCCTTCCAGGCATACCTCATCTACGCCATGGTCATCTTCTTCCGGCTCGGTCGCGAGTACAAGACGTTCTTGCTCCAGGCCATGATGAACACGCAAGACCTCGCGTGCGAGACGGCGCGAAGGGGCCTCGCGTGTGTCGCAGAGCAGCAGGGTGCGAGGCCGAAATGGGAGGAATGGATCGTCGCGGAAACGAAGAGGAGGGCGGTGTTTACAATGTGCATGTTTGACAGCGCCCTCTTGACGAATGACGGTCTCCCGAGTCATCTTGCTACCGAGCTTCGAGGGCTTCTCGCCCCGGGCAGCAAGTCTCTATGGGAGGCGAGGGACCGACGTGACTGGGAGGTCAAGTACAACATTCAGCTTGCGGCGTGGAACGATGGAGGTCTCCGGATTGAAGAGCTCTGGCCAATGCCAGAGGGGTTTAGTGAGGCAGAGACGGAGAAGCGGCGGGAGCGGGTTGACATGTGGCTGGAAGATCTTGACGAGTATGGGACGATGGTTTATGCTGTCACTTTGTGTACACATGGAGGCTGAGGATGGGGTCATGGAAGTCTGGAGGCTCCAGATCAGTTATGATAATCATTCGATGTATGAAAAGTACTATTACCCAGCCAATTCCAGCATCTTCAAGGCCTCGTCCAGTGTAATAATCCCTACATTCATATTCTTCAACTGAGTTGTGAGGAGACATTCTCTCAGCTCCGCGCTCCCCTCTCCCGGAAACTCCATCACGTTGTCAGAGACGACGTAAATATTGTAGTCGAGATCGAACAGGCGGTATACAGTGCTCATTACGACGCCGGAAAGAGTGATGCCAGACTGTTACAACACTATTTAGTCCTAGACCAGTACACAGATTTTAGACAACTCACAATGACAACCGTGCTGATATTCTGCGCTTTCAGTATCTGCTCCAACCCGTTCCCAGCACCCGCGTACCACCTCGTCTTGTGAAGAACAATGTCCTTTTCGTCCAGCTTCAAGCTTTTGTCGATTTGGACTTCTGGGGAGCCTTTCACAAAGTCCCCGAATTTATCAATAAGGTTTGCAAATGGTGAGGGTCTTGCCAGCTCCGGTTGGGAGTAGTTTGAAAAGCAGAGAGTGGTGAAAATGGTGAGCGGCCTTGGATGATGCTGGTGCACGGCTTCGTTCCATCGGACGCAATTTGATATGAAAAGCTCGCCTTCGTCGGTTTTCTTGATGCTGTCGAACATGATTGCCATTAAGTCGAGGTTCAGAATGGCGAAGCGCTTGCCAAAGGATGGGACGCCTTCACCCGTAGCTTGCGCACCTGCCATTCTCGTGATGGCACAGCAATGAACTGATTATTTCGAGGTTTAGAATTTGTAAATTACGGCAAAATTCTATTAGATACGTTCGAGGAAAACCTCGCGTCCGGCAGTATTCCCCAATTACAAACCTGATCTCTTCAAACCTCGACGCCGGAGTTGAGTTGCTCAACTCCGGAAATGTGGGGCTCAGGTCCGGTCTCGTTCCGAACGCCACAGCGAAGAGTGATCGGGTCGAGAAGTTGATAAAGAAAGACGCAATCTCATTGTTGCGCCAGTCTAGGATGATAATTGACCAAAAAAAGTCTCGTTCCCCTAATAATTTCTTCATGTTCACGAAATGGCTACCAATGAGGAGCAACCAAGCGCATCGGGAATGCCCTTGGTGGAAACACCGTACAGCATCTTTGACAAACGCCAAAAAGTGTTGATCATCTTTTTAGTGTCAACGGCGGCCACATGTGAGTATTTACTTAACGACATATTCAAATGAGGGCTGACCAATTTAGTCTCCGGATTTGCGTCAAACATCTACTTCCCGGCCCTCTCCACCATCGCAGATGACCTCAATGTCTCCGTCGAGCTAATCAATCTCACGGTCACCACCTATCTCATTTTCCAAGGCCTCGCCCCGAGTCTCTGGGGTCCGATTTCCGATGTCAAAGGTCGAAAGTTCGCCTATATTGGCACCTTCCTGGTCTTTTTCGGAGCGTGTGTCGGCCTCGCCGAGATCAAGACGTTTGCCGGCTTGATCATTCTCCGGTGTGTCCAGAGCATGGGCAGCGCAAGCACGATCGCCATAGGCTCCGGCGTTATTGGGGACATCACGACGCGCGAGGAGCGTGGGGGCTTCATGGGCGTTTTCCAGGCTGGGCTGCTGGCTCCTGTGGCCATCGGGCCGGTCATTGGGGGTGCTCTTGCGGGGTCGCTGGGCTGGAGGAGCATCTTCTGGTTTCTGACCATCTACTGCGGAATATTCCTGCTGTTTCTGGTTTTACTGCTGCCAGAGACGCTGAGATCGGTTGTTGGAAACGGTGGGCGGACGCCGTCGAACTTGCTGCAGAAGTACCCGTTGGTGTATTACCAGCGAACGACGAAGGTGAAGTGGGATGTCGAGGAAACGACGCTCAGCACGGCACCTCGCAAGAAGGTCGACTTGACAGCACCCATTCGGATTCTCTTCAGTAAGTCGGCCGCGCCGATAACAATCTTCCTCGCCATTTACTACGCCGTCTGGCAGATGAGCATCACCGCCATGTCCACACTCTTCAAGACCAAGTACGGGCTCTCCGATACGCACATCGGACTGACCTTCATCGCCAACGGAGCAGGGTCGATAATTGGTACGTTGGTGACGGGGAAGTTCCTGGATATGGACTACCAGAAGGTCAAGGCAAAATACGGAGAGCAAGACTGCGACTCGGACTTTCCAATCGAAAAGGCACGTCTCCGGCTGGTGCCCGTCTTTGCGCTCCTTCAGTGCGTGTCGATTGCTGCATTTGGCTGGACCATCAACTTTCCAGATAAGGTGCATATTGCGGTGCCCATTGCATCGACGTTTGTCACGGGATGGACGGCCATCGGCACGCAGTCGCTGGTCATGACCTATCTCGTGGACATCTTCCCTGACCGAAGCGCGGCAGCGAGCGCCAGCCTCAACCTGGCGAGGTGCTTGTTTGCGGCAGGAGGCACGAGCTTCGTGATGCCGATGGTCAACTCGATTGGCGTTGGATGGGCCTTCACCGTTTGCGTGGCGGCGCAGGCCATCGCTGTTCTTCTTGCTGGGGTGCAGTGGAAGTTTGCTGGAAGATGGAGGCGTCAGGAGGCTGAAGGGCGGGCATGAGCAGCGGATCTGGTTGGATTTTGGCCACGAACGTGACCAGGACGATGGGCAAATGGCGAAAGGTTTACTTTGAATTGGTGCAGATAGACAAAAGCATTCTTAGAGTCCGAGATTCCGAGAGTTTTCAAGTACGAGATGATGCGAGGCAGGCAATGGCAACTGATTAGTTAAGAGTCCGACTGCCTGATATCTGCCGGCGGAAGGTGAAGTTGAAGCAGGTGCCTTCCTCGTGAGATGAGGTTGAGGTTGAGGAAGGAGGCCCTGAGGTGTGCTTTCCTCGTCTCAAACAAAGGCATCACCTCCTTCCTTTGCTCCTTCTACCTGAGCGAGGGTCGACTGGTGCCTGCCTCACTCTTGCCTTGGAAAGCGCAAAGCGCATCTCGCGCCTTCTTTCCGACGCGTCGACCCGTGACCTTGGAGGCTCCTACCTTGAGAACTCGGCGTCTGCCTTTCCTCGCGGCGCAACTCAATCTCTGCACCTGCCCTCCCCGTCGACGCCTTCCTCCTCTCCCAAGGTTCACGGTGTTGTCCCGGTCAACCACAAAACTCTTTCCTTTTCACCATTCTCACATTCAGACCTCACCTTCTCTTTCCCTTCCTTTCCCACTCCTCCCCGTCACGCGTCTCACGATCGCCAGCACCGCCAAGATGGCTCCCCAGGACGAGAAGCTCTGCTTCGATCTCGACTTCCGCTACTTCCTTGCCGCCAAGGATATCCCCGCGCACATCGCCTGCCTCTGGCAGTACTTCTCTCTCGCCAAGTGCCGCAAGGGTCTCGAGAGCTGGGTCGTCTCCGTTCCCGCTGCCAAGCATGCATCCAATGCCAAGGGCTCTGACCGCGTCCAGCTGCTGCGCTTCGGAGTATGTGAATTTCATCGCGGATCCCCTCAAAACCTCAACTTCCTCCATCTCAGGCTGACCCTTCACACAGATCCGCTTCACCCACAAGACAGCCACATACGCCGACATCGATGAGGCTCGTGTCATTTTGAAGGACGCCTTCAACACTGCCGCCCAGCACGTCCGCGGCATGAGCAACGCTCCTGCCCGTGAGCGAGGCCTTCTCGAGTACAACAAGCTGCTGCGTTTGTATGTCACTGTCAAAAATGATGATTCCTGGTCCTGGGGCAACTGGGGATTGAGCTCCTACTACTACAACGGCACAACCCCCGACGACGATTCCGCCATATCCGCCATGGAGCGCTTCAAGCAGAAGTATCAGGAGGTACGTCCTACTCACCTTTTTACTCCCCCCATTCACATCCTGACAACAATCCAGACTGTTCCTTGCGATGTCACCCTTGACACCTCCGCCCACACCTCCTCCGCTGCCTCGGAGCTGCTTGCCGAGACCTCCGGAGACAAATGGCGTCTGCGAAAGCTCATCCCATCACTCAACCGCAGACACGATGTTGACATCTTCAACGATTGGGTCCGATGGGCCATTGAGAACCACGCCACCATCCTGGCGTGTGCCACCGAAGCCCACAGCAATGCCCAGCAGGCGTCCGACTCCGTCGCCGAGGTGACCAAGTTCTCCAACCCCAAGGAGAAGCGTGCCATCCTCAACAGAAGCATGTGGGAGAAGTTTGCCAGCATCTTTGACAGAGACCATCACAACAAGTACACCGAGGCCTCGGCGAAGCTCAATGACCAGGCAATTTCCCTCCAGGAGGATGCCAAGGCAATGAAGGTCCTGTTGACTCAAGGTTGGAAACCCCTTGATCCTACTGGATCACGCCTACGACCGTATCGGGTGCTAACCATGCCAACAGTCAATGCCCAACTTTCGCAGCACGCCATTGCTTGCAGACTGCTCACTCTCTACGCCAACACCAATATTGAGCATGATCAACTGCTGTCTATCTGGGAGCGTCCCGACGCGGACAAGAAGTTGCTGGTCAGCCTCCTTGGCGCCGACATAGCGCAGATGGAGACTCCGACCGGTCGCATCTCTAAGTTGTGCAACGAGATGGAAAGGTTTGAGGCGGGTCAGCGTGCGCTGCGTAAGGGAGAGACGAAGCTCGTGAAGGGCCTCAAGAAGATGGAGGGCAAGCTCGAGCGCTTGAACAAGGACTCGGTCAAGGCCCGGAACAAGTTTGCTGCTGGCCAGCTGCGCGCGCAGAAGGGCAAGTTGTCGGGCAAGTTGGAGGATCTGGAGAGCGACACGGACAGCGGCTACTCTTACGACGAGAAGAAGTAGAGGGGGTGCCTTCTGAGAGAATTTGCCAGGATGTCATGGAGACAGGACGTTTCTCGCCTTCACAAGGGTCATACGCCATCATGTCGTTAGATTTGCTGAGGTTTCGGGGGTTTTTACGATTGACAATGTGGCTGAATGCAGACAAGGATTCACTGATTTGTACAAGTTCGCCCAAGTGCAAAGGTGACAGGTTGTATCCCAAAAAGGAAAACGCTGTAAGGTACTTGGTGGTAGAAGCCGGAGGCCGTGATTCCCGTCTTGCTGAGTCTGTGAGAATAGAACGTGATTACATAAGGCGGGATCGAGTGGATCAGGACCGGGCGTCGGCAGTGTCCCTTGAAGCTAATCTTGACTGGGGATAGCGTTCCGCGATCTTCATTTTGGTAGGGAATTTGGGGGAGGCCAAGGCGCTAAAAGCGAGAGGGCTCTCCCGGTTTGTGTGAAGCTGGAGTGGTGTCTGTGGCTGCAATTGGTGGCGATGTTGCAGCACATCGCCCGGTTTGTGTAGCTACCTGCATGTTCGGGGCGGGAGCTGTCATGCTGCTCAGGGTAGGAGGAAGTAAATCAACGGCACGCTGATCTCATGTGGTTTGCGCATGTGTTTTGCATGTTTGTTCCACGACGATGGCATCCATCTATTCAGTTAGTGGTGGTGACAAAGGAAACGAAACGATGTTGATGGAGACGAGCGCAATTTGCAAGAGGACAATCCCTCATCCTTACCAGGGATTGCCGCATTGCCGCAGCGGTGCATGATGCTTGTTTCTGCTGTTTGGTTGGGTGGTTTTGTGAATGTCAGCAGGCTGAAGGATCAAGTGAACCACGGGCAAGACAAACAGCAGGCGGGGCTCTTTCCAGGGCGGACGCTAGGGTGCCCAGATGGAACCTTCAATGTGCTCCCCATCCACTGTGACTGCCCCAAACCTTCTGTTTGGTTTTACGGATACAGTGTTCAGCGGCAGCCGTCAAAATCGCCCTTTCCCGTCTGGTCTTGGCGCCCTTCCTCCACCTTCAATTCAAAGCCTTTCCTCATTGTCTCCTTCCCCTGACGACGAGGGGCTAGTATTATCTCCTTGTAATGAACCTGCCAGCATCCGTACTTGCTTCCTAATAGTTTCTTCTCTTCCCTTCAATTGTGCCTCTCTTTCGCTCCTCGACGCAGCCATCCTTCCTCGGCCGGGCCTGACACGTCGAGCCTGCATCGCCATCCGACCTCACATTCCTGCGACACGTCTGCGAGACAAGCCACATGCGCCGCCGCCCTTACCCCTCTCGTCGCCTATAATTATTGCAGACACCGCTACTCCTCCACCGACCACCAGAAACTCGTTTCTATTCCACACGCAAGTCGGCGTTGCACGACACCACCGCAAACATGGCTCGTCCAAGCAACGAAGAACGCCGCTCGTCCTCCGAAGCATTCGAACTCGACGACGAACACAAGGAGCCATTGCTGCCTGGCACACAACCACCATCTCGGTCAAGGAGGAAAGGGTCTCTTCTGGCCTGGCTCAAGGGCAGGCCGCGAGCCGTGTTGAGAGCCTTCCGTCGTCAACCTCGATCTCTCCCCCGACTCCTACTGCGATATACCTTCATCTTCCTTCTCCTCATCTTCGTCACGACGCCCATATTCTTCCCCTCCTACACCCGCCACCCGAAACATTACAAGGACCTGCGGAAACGATGCCTGGTGTCCGACAGCTTGTCCGGCTGCGCGAACCTCCAAAACGAAAAGGTCTTCATCGCAGTCAGCCTGTACGACCCCGAAGGAAAGATTGCCGGCGGAGAGTGGGCGCAAAACATTCTGGATCTGATACACATGATTGGCGAGGACAACGTGTTTTTGAGCATTTACGAAAACGACAGCGGCGAGCAAGGCGCCGCTGCCTTGGAGGAATTCAAGAAGAATGTGCCGAGCAAGCACAAAATCGTCATCGACGACCACGTCGACTACAACATCTTCCCCCACATCACCATGCCCGACGGCACACAGCGACTGAAGCGCCTCGCCTACCTCGCCGAGATGCGCAACCGCGCACTATACCCCCTCGACCAGTTTGACCCCGACGTCGGAGTGGTCCAGTACGACAAGATCCTGTTTCTCAACGATGCCATGTTTGCGCCGGTCGATGCTGCCCACCTGCTCTTCAGCACCAACACTGGCGATGACGGGCGCACCCACTACCTCTCGGCCTGCTCCATCGACTTCGACTGGAACGTGTTTACGGAATACGACCTCTACGCCCAGAGAGACGCGCAGGGGTACTCGAACGGCATCCCCATCTTCCCCTACTTCACCAACGCGGGCCAGGGCATCTCTCGCAAGGCCATGGTCTCGCAGACAGACGCGGTCCCCGTCAAGAGCTGCTGGGGCGGGATGGTGGCCATGCAGGCCAAATGGATCCAGAACATGGACAAGCAGCTGCCCAGCAAGGACTGGCAGGCTCCTGCGCACCATGTCATCAACCCGGATCACCCCCACAACGCCACGGCGCCGGTGCGCTTCCGGTATGAGCCCGAGGTGTATTTTGATGCCTGCGAATGCTGTCTCTTCCTGGCGGACGTCTCAACCGTGGCAGAGAAGGCCGGAGAGATGGACACGGGCGTGTTCGTCAACCCCTACGTGCGCGTCGCATACCGGAAGCGGACGCAACGGCTTGAGCGCTTGGTTCGTCACTGGGAGAGGCTCTTTGCTCTGCCTCAGGGCATCATTACTCACTTCTCGCGGTTCCCCACGCCGAACCCGCACCGTGAGGTGGTGGAGGGTCAGCGGTTCCAAGAGGAAATCTACCAACGCAGGGAAGGGTGGAAGATGGTGGAGCGGACGGGCCGCAACGGCATGTTCTGCGGCGTGCGCGAGATGCAGCTCATCAAGGAGGGGCCGCGTGTGGGCAAGAACTGGGAGAACTGGTACCAGATCCCATGGGCTGAGCAGAAGCTGCACTTTCCCATTTGAGGCGTCAATGTTGATAATACGGCGTACTGGTTTGGAGGCATCTTTATTTTGGATGGCAGGTATGGTGTTGAATGACCGGGTTATGAGGAAAAAAGGGGGGGAGTCACGAGTCTATCGCGGGACCTATATAGATACCACCCTCGTTCACGTCTGCATAATTAGAGGTTTGAATATTTCCCGTCAGTTGAAGCCCCTATCGTTGTTGGATGCCTGTCTTGAGATGCTAATCCGAGGGCAATCGCAATGCAGTCATTCATCATCACCACTACCAGCCGAAAGATGTGAGCAGCAGCAGATGAACGTTTCTGTATTAGACACCCTTCGTCTTCAAAGTCTCCCCTCCGTCGCGTAAACACACTACACCCGTCCCAAAACTAATCATGCTCGTTTGAAAAGTAAGCCTGCCTTCCCCCCAAGGCGGCAACAACAACAACATCATCAAAGCAGCAGCAGCCAGCAGACCCTCGTTAAAACCCAGCCGTGAAGAAATCCCGTGTAACCCGTGAAGTAGCCCACGGCCCAAAACAAACCCCTATAAAACCCGCACGCTCAACTCGGGGAGGGGGAAACAAAAAAGGTGGTATCTCTCATCATTGGGGGAAAAGAAACACGTCGTGGGTGTGAAGAGGTGAAACACGTCGTTCAGTCTCCGTGGAGAAGGAAGCATCGCGTGGGATGTACGCAGTAGAATGGCTTTGGCGGGAAAGACATCTAGGAGGCGACGGGCTCGAGGGCGTTGGCCTTTGCCTTGGCAGTCTTGGGCTTGGTCTCCTATATTTTGTCAGTTTCTGTTGTTCGTCCATGACTCTCAGTAAAAGTCATACCTTCTTGCCGGCCTTGGTGGCGCCGCTGACCTTGGTCGACACAGACTTGGCGACGGACTTTGCCTTCTGGGCGACGGTGGGCTCCTTCTTGGTGGTGGCGGCCTTCTTCTTGGTGATGCCGACGGGCTTCGCGGCGGCGCTGGTCGCGCTGGTGCTCTTCTTGGGCTTGTCGGCAGTGGTGGTGGTGGTGGTGGTGGTGGAGGAGCGCGGCTTGCGGACGGGGGCGGTGTCGATGACGGGGAACACGCGCGGCTTGGAGTTGCCGGTCTGCGAGCGGGTTCCTTCGCGGGCCATTTTTGCGGATTTTTTTCTTGGGTGTCGCGTTAGGGTTTTGCGAATGCGGAAAGGGAGAAGAGATTGACGCGATCAAGGCGAGGTGAATGCGATTGCGGGAGGAGAAGGGGGTGGATTGCGCGACCGTGATGTGGATGGCCCTTTGGAGGGTGTGGTTGCGTTGTGTTGTGTGTGGGATGCGCGGTGAGGAAGGGCTTACCTGGGAGACGGGGGTTTGGGGGAGATAGCTTCTGGAGCTGTAGCGGAGAGTTATTTCTGGATAACGGAAAGAAAAGAAGCTTCGCGACGAAGAAGACGGGAGATGTGAAGGTGTTTTTTTGTTGTTGTTGAGAAGAGAAATGTGGGAGGTGACGTGGTTTTCGCGAGGGGGTATGGACGGGTTGGATGGACGGGCGGATGGCAAGGTCACAAGGGGCGCGGACTGGACTGGATGGCGAGCAACAGAATCAGCAAGAGGAGCGGTGTCGGACAAAAACAAAAGGGCTGGGCTGGACCAGCAGCAGCAAGAAGCAGGGGAAATTTGAGTGATTGATGGATAGGTAGCTGGTATTAGCTTCCCCTTCTCTTTCCAGGTTAGCGACCAAGGAGGACAAGAATGAAACGGGGACTTGATGGTGGTGGTGGTGTGCGGTGCGGCCGAGGCCGTGAACATCAATCAGCACTCGTCAATCAACCAGCAGAGAGAGGGGAGGGGGAACCAGTACCAGCAGGTCCTCCCACCTTGTCCGTCGCGTCTCTTCCCTCTCTTCTCCATCTTTCTTTTTCTCTCTTGTTTTTCCTTGATTTAAGTTTCTGTGCGTTGGTGCCCTCTGTTCGTCATATAAGAAAAACAAGATGATGGCGTCCATGCTCCAAGCATATGTTCTTATCAGACAACCTACGAAGAAGAGCGCAGGGACGGACGGTATCTCTGACGATAGATGGATGAGCTGAGCTTGGCTGGCCGGGCGGACGGTCAGATATCGCGCCCCCTTCGACTCGACGTGTCTCTAGTCTCCCCCTCTTCTCCGTTGTCGACATGCTTTCCCCTCCCGTGTGTGTGTTTTCCCGTCATGTTTCATCCCCCGGATTCATCTGCTCGTAAACACCGCCCTCCTCGTGTTCTTTTGTCCTTTCGTCACAATAGAAGAGGAGATACGGTGGGAGCACTCGGAACAGGCGGCTTGCGTCACCGGCACCCTAAACCTGCCCAACAATCTCTCTCTCTTCCCCAGATCCTCAGAGATTTCAATGCTCTGTTATCGTCATTGTCTCATATCCCACCAAGCACATGATCGTCCGGCTCGGTGTTTCGTACGGGAAGGACAGAGCACGCGACGTTTTTGGCGTCGACAAGCTTCTTTTTTTTGGCGCGCAATCGCATGCTTGTCGTTTTTTATTTTTTTCTTCATGTTTCTTCAGCGGGCACCTCAGCGAAGCGGTTCACCTGGACCGTGCAGCACAAGCGCCGCCCGCGACCTGACCTCGGCCATCCACTCCAGCGAATAAGTCTTTGTTCTTTGTCTTTCTCTCGAGATTGACGAAATTGACGAGTTTGCCGCCTTTTGCGAGAGAAGCACATTGCAATGAAAATAGAGTTGAGGCACGGAATGAGGTCGGCCGTGACTGTGCCGACCCGTTAAGCTGAAGAGGCGTTTGGGTTGCGCAGCGATAAGGCAAGGTTCTCCACAGACTCAGCCCGTTGAGCACTGTCCTTGTGCTGCTATTTTTGCGCAATTCGGGGAACCGTTGGGCTCCACATTTTCCCGCCCTAGATTCAGGGTCTGCCATGTGAGGCTATTCCCAGATGCCGACAACATCCGAGACTGCGCTGGGGACTGGTGAGACAAGGGTCCTCACCTTCCTCTTATCAGGTCAGAAAAGTACTTTGATAATCACTTTCGATTGGATTCTTATGGCGTGGCTTGCTCAATGGTCTAGATTGGACTACAAACCGCGAACGACAGCAAAGGTCAAAGGAAAGCTCTTCAGAACGGCAAAAGGTCCGCTGCAGATCCACCAATTGACACCACCATGTACCAGAAGCGAGACCTGAGAAGCCTCCAGGGAAGCAGCTACCCCTGGAAGACGGTGCAATGAACGTACGGTTACCCCCATGTTGCAGATTCAAAGTGGAGACGGAACCAACAGTTGAAGACTTGAAGCAGACGAGAATGGCTCGGCGAAGAGGGGTAGTCCAGCCCTCCCCTTTAAAGCCGGACAAGCGCACGTTTCTTCAGCGCTCGACGAGGACCAAGGTGGTTTGGTACTCATACATTGTCGAGTTTCAAAGAACAAGATGACCGATCAACAGCAACAAGGCGCCGCGGAGGCTGCTGCCGCGCCTGCTGCCACTGCTTCTCCCACTGCAACCTCGCCCACTCCCGTTGCCACGATTACGGCAGCGCAAGCCACAGCCGCCGCAGCTGCGACAGGCGCCGCCGACATCGAAGCCGACGAACCTGCTGATAGCGATGATGCCTCCTCAGTCGCCGGCTTCTCGCGGGTCACCGAGTCACAGGCCTCGCTGAGATCAAGCATTCTCAACTACCGCCGCGAGAACGGCCGTACCTACCACCGCCTTAGCGAGGGTAAATACTACCTGCCTAACGATGCCTGCGAGCAGGACCGTCTCGATATTATCAACCACCTCTGGGCAATCGTATTCGACGACGGCTTCTGCTCCTGCCCCAAGAACGACGGTGCCAAACGTGTTCTTGATCTCGGTACCGGCACCGGCGCCTGGGCCATGGATTATGCGGACGCGTATCCCGACGCCCACGTTATTGGCGTCGACCTTAGTCCAATCCAGCCAGCCTATGTGCCACCCAACTGCGCATTCGAAGTTGACGACGTGGACAAGGAGTGGACCTGGTCCCAGCCGTTCGACTTTATCCTCAGTCGCAACATGAACATGTCCTTCACAGCCGAGGGATGGGAAAACATGATGAGGCAAGCCTACGACGCGCTTGAGCCCGGCGGCTATCTTGAGATCCAGGACAGCCGCTGGCCACTTACCTCCGACGACGGTTCTCTGACCGAGGACCTCCCATTATTCAAGTGGAGCCAAATGTTGACCGAAGCTGCCGACAAAATTGGACGCCCAGCAAACATCACCGAGACTTTCGACGACGTTATGAGAAAGGTTGGCTTCGAGGATGTTCGGAAGACGCGCATTCGCTTCCCCATGTCGCCATGGCCCAAGGACCCGAAGCTCAAAGACATAGGTATGTGGACTCAGGCGTCCCTTCTCCCTGGCCTTGAGGGCATGTCTCTTGCTCTCATGACTCGAGAGATGGATTGGTCCAAGGAGGAAACGATGATTCTGTGCGCTCAGGTTCGAAAGGATTTGAGTAATCCCAAAATCCACGCCTATTGGAATGGATATGTGATTTACGGGCGTAAACCTCTGGATGCTGAGAAGGAAGATGCCTAATTTTGACCTTACATGTCCCGAAAGAAGGAGAAAGCCTTGGACAGGAGGAATCCAGTAAGAGCAGGCGGAGTCAGGGCACCTGATGTTATTAGAGCGACTACTTTTAATACAAGTTCCTGTATACTCCTTTAAACTGTCGTTGTCTTCGTGATTGTTGTCGCTACTGTTGCTATCGTTCTTAGTATCGTCGTGGTTAGTGTCGTCACTGCCCGCCATTGTTGTCGTCATTTTCTGGGATGGTATTATTGTTGCCGTCATAATTGCTAGCATACCTCCAAGCTATTACACAAACTACACAAAAAATAGGTATGGTTGCGCAGACACAGAAACACTAGATGGCATTGCAAGTGTTAGTGAACAGACCGGTGCTGCGAAGTCGTTGATTCAGGAATGTCCCATTCCATTACATCCTCTATCTCGGTGCACAGAGTCGCCCCACGAGTTCACTTAGACAAAGCTGCCCTGTCTCTGAAGTTCGGCGAAATACCTGTCTGCCTTCTTTGTAACGTCCTTCGAGCGCTGAGTGCCGACTCGCCAGGCGACGAGAGTCAGGAAAGTGAGTCCTACAGTCAACACCGCGAAAAGCCAGATATGTTTTGACACGATGGACTCCCCTGCGCCGGCTTCCCAGTTGAACATGTCCATTGAAAAGATCGCCGCCACGCTCGAGAGCGGTAGGTATATCATGGTGAGAATGGCGATTGTCCTCATCTGCGCACTCTCGTGCCGAGTATCAAAGGCCATGGCTCGATTTGCTTTGGAGATTTGCGTGGTTGTCAAGGAGTCTTGTCTCATCTTGTGGTTCCATACCTGTTGCTAGTCAGCTAATAGAACTTTCGAGTTTCAACAGGAGCATTTCACCGTTTGCACAGCAAGAGACGTATTGTAGACGACCTTGTTACACTCATCAATCTTGTCATCATACTCGCGGATAATGTCCTGAACGCGTTTCCTCATATCTCGACCGACTGCTCCCAGCTTTGTTTGCATTGCAGGACTCTCAGCCCATTTGGCCTCTGGACCCAGTGATTGAAGCTCCTCGGCAACCTCGTCGATTTCATCTAGGAATTTTGAGAGCTGGCGTTTAGAAGCCTGGATATGATCAATTAGACTCCGACTGCGCCGGCACACATTCAAGTAGTCTTTTTGTGTCTTTTGTCCGTCCTCGTCTGCCTTTGGGTCCATATTCCAGGGTTCGCTTTCAAGTTCGTCGGACTTCAGAGTGAACTCGTCCACCAACTTGTCAACGGAGAAGATCACTCTCTTGCGCTCAAGTTCAATGAATATACCTGACATCAATAATGGATGGCTCCGTTGCTCATTCGACCTCCGGATTCTTGCTTCGATGTCACTCATTTGTTTCTCGGTGCACCCGTAGACAACTGCAAACGTGGAGCCGGTGCTCGGGATATAAGTAGACGACAGTGCCAAGTCGTTTGGTAAAGTTGTAGCCATCCGTGCGGTGAAGCCTAACCACAAGCCATGCTTAGCAAAGTCTTTGGTCTGCGCTGCGAAGGGCTTGATTAATCACCTAGTTTAATTTGATGAGAATATAGATCGTGATGTGGCAGGTAAGAAAAACAGGCAACATCTCTCAAAATGGTCCTGGTGATTTCTCGATGGACATGAAATTCCCTTGTGATGCGGTTCCATGTGGGTTTTGGCATCGGTAGATAATTGGCCGGCGCTTGCCCCTCCTCCTCGAAGATAGCACCAGCTCTACTGCACATACTAGACCCAAGAGTCAGCTGAATGAGTTGATGGCCGGGGGCGTCTTTTGACTTACATCACATATATCCCTGGGAGAAGCTTGTCCCATGATGGAGATACTCCCGGGGCCTGAAATCCGGTAAGTCCATGGTCACAAGGTGATGGCGATTGCCGTAACGTACACGACTGAACCAGTTGTCCCAGTCCTCCTTCGTACTCAATTCTTCTCTAAATGTGCCCTGTGTGTGTAAAACCGTATTAGTCAAGTGTTTGGCGTCAGTAATATGACCCAATTTCCATCCTACCTCATCGCTACTGAGCCTTCTTAGAACGACTGCTTTTCTTTCTCCTGATCTGAAGAGTTTCAGGTCGGACTCATTCCACTCTCTGGGCTCATGAGGGAGGTCCATTGCTAACACCGGTGAAAGTGAGATTATGGCGCTATGCAATTGACGAAAGACGCTGTAATCCTAGAGATGATGCGGGAGCGCAGGTAATCGCCTGCGCTTTAAACAGTCTGCTATCTGCACATTCCCCTCTCCGAACCACTCTGACGCCTCTCCTCCCGCCTCGCTGAAAGCCTGCAGCTTATCTAGAACGCCCTCTGCCCCCCTTAAGCAATCGTGCTTAAAGGCCGTGACGGTTCCAATACCGATTGGGCGCTCGTGAGATTTCTTGCAGGTCGCGAGTCGCATCATTCGACATGACATGCTTGGTAGTGGAGCAGCCGGCAGCGCCCACGTATGCGTTGTCCGGCGGCCATTGGGAATAGTACCATGCAGCATGCAGAGACAGCTCCAATCGCGAGACACACCACTCGCATGTGCGACCCATACGATTTGACTCTTGAGCCTCTGGTCCGCTGAGCCTGTGCTCCTCCCCCGGAGCCCGTCCCTCTTCTATTTCGGACTTTTTCGTCTTTTTTGTACCGAGAACATCGCTGCACAGCAAAATCGCAGACACACTCTTCAAGAACGCAGTGAATCATTGCGGCCCAAGTGCACAATCCGGCAACAGCTGTTTAAAACACGTTACGTTATGCAGCATGGCCGATTCCAAGAAACCTCCATCCAAGGAACCTCCCTCCAAGGAGTCACCAACTACAGACTGGCATCGTGAGACGATGCGAACCAAGTACCACGATCCGGTGAAGCTGAAGGACACCCTGGACAAGATGTTCGGCGAGAAAAACTACAAAGTGAGGGTATGAACTGCAAATCAGATTCTTATGGCTTGGTGATATCTAGTCTAACGTATGCAACACCCAAGGTTATTAACAATCGATATATCCTTATGCTCTCTAGACCGCCGAAGCAGGTAAGAGCAAATCTTCCCCCACTCTCCCCCCCCCCCCCCCCCCCTGATATTTCTCTTTCTGCGCCATGCTACTCCCTGTACATTATGCAAAAGCAATTGACAATCCTCGACTCAATAGGGTGAAATGGAAAAGCTCGAAAAAGAAGCCAGGGAGCACTATAACGAATAGGTCAGCGATAAGAAACATGAGCTCGGCGATGCTGCGCCATATCTTACTGATTAATTGACGTTAAAGATGTTTGAGCCCATCAAACTGGGAAAAGCATCGTTGGTGCTGGAACGAACTAGAGAGACGTTGTCCTCGATGAAAGAAGGACGGTCATTGTTCCGTCGTTGAAATAATGAAACTTTGAATTTGCCGAGCCACTGATGCAAATCTCTTCACTTCGTGGGCCATCGTGACCCAAGATAGTAGTCATCTTCACCCTTACAAGCCTTCAGGAGTTCGTGCATTCTCTTCGTGAGCTGATTGGCACGTATGCGGTTGTCTGAATTGGGCTCGAGCATTCCGTTTTTGATCACTTCCAACAATTCCCAGAGATACCATGAACAGTCGGGACGGTGTTGCAATTTGTGAATCCAAGCCAAGACTGATGGCTTGATGTGCGCCCGTTTGTCCCTGACGGAAAAGAAGATATCGGACTCGAAACCATAAATATCGTTCTCCATTCTTTTCCCAGGGAAGACGTTTTCGACAGCATCGAATCCATAAAAGAACCAGGTGACGTATTCCAAGAAAACGCAGCCAAGACTGAAGATGTCGGATCTTGGAGAAACTTGGCCAAATGGGAGGTCGAATTCAGGGCAACGATAAGATGCTGATCTTTCAAGGTTCCTTGGATCTTGCTTCGACCGGGACACCTGGGTGTGCAATCTTCCCAGGCCGAAGTCCGACAACGCCAACAGACCTGGAAAGCTATTGGAGTGGAACCAGAGAAAGTTTCCTGGAATGTGTTAGAGAACTTGATCTCGTTGGCAACAACAGTTTGACACACCTGGTTTGATATCCCCATGTCGTCCATATAGATCTTGATTTGAGTCGCGATCTTCCAAATAACGCATGGTCGGGGCTCTATCATTGTGAACACACTGTAAAGCTTCACAGATCTCATGAAACTGCTCAGCCATCCACAGACAATGCTTTTTATTCCCGACGAGACGTTCGTTGTTTTGCCAGAACTTGCTCAGATCGCCCTCAGCCCAGTCGAACAGCAAGTAATAGGTTGAAAGTCCGCCAGCAGCGGGATTCACAACCTCGAATGTTGCTAACAGCTGGATCAGATGCTTCTTCTTATAATTGTTTCCAGTGAACAACAAGGAAGACAGCTCCAGGTCGAAACTGTTTCGGTTGTGGGATGTAAGCTTTTTCAAGGCAAAGAACTCTTGAGGGTGTCGGATCTGAACAGATCGAAGATTAGCTGAGTAACTGGAAATTCGGAAACACATAACGTACTCCATGGTCCCCAAAGTCCCAATGCCCATCATGGATCTTGACTTTATAGACTTCACTGAAACCTCCGTAAGTATTACCCCCACCAGAAAGAGCATCCTTCTGCGTGGTGTCCGAGCTGTCTTCCTGTGTGACTTTGTCAATGATCTCCACAGGAATGATGTCTCCGGTTTCTAAAACGTAATGCGAATGCAACGATGGCTCCCACTTGATGAACGGCGCGTTCAGTGTATGAGACCACTGCGAAAAGCTTTCGCGGATCTGTGGGCGGAGATAACTGTTGATAGTGCTGTGCATGCCGTGTTTCCGGCACTTGAGGAATTGGTCCTTGGTGGCACCGGTTGGCTGAAGCGGCAAACAGCTATCTCTGACCCCGTCCTTGAAGTGTTTGGCGAAGTCCTCCACCTTGTCAATGCCCACCAGGACCGCCAACAATTTCACGGCAGGACCCTTCGAACCATCCGAGTCGCCGTAGTATATTTGCTTTGCAAGCTCCCTCTTATTCGGCTCCTTTCTGAAACATCGAAGAGTAGACACAACCCTATAGACCGACTCGAAAGTCAGGATTCTGTCGAACTGAGGTTGTGGTATAAATCGCTTCTCTGGCTCCAAGGCATTCGAGGTTTTTGCCTGGTCAAGTTGTAGGCCAAGTTGTTCGACTATATCGTCATCATCGGAGTCCTCATTCATCTGCCCATTAAACCCGTTCACCCGAGGAACCGCTTGCCGGTCCCTGTCTCTCTTCAGCCTGAATGCTTCTCCTCTGTCAAGCACTTTCTGAACGCGCTCCGGGTCGTCCAGGATAAGCTTTGATGACGGCTTTAGTTTCATGAGCCCCGAAAACTCCTGGGAAGCATCATGAGACATGATGGGCTGTCTTCTTGCCGTAGCTGTGGTATGCAGTAAGCTTGCTGACATCTTGACGCTAATGACAGGTGAGGCTAACCAGCCATTTGAAAGAGCCTATCGGTGCTAGTAACTATTGGCCTGATGGAGAGGCTGCAAAGAAGTTGACACTAGCCACAGTGATGTTGGCAAATGCGAATAATGACAGAGCGGACGGTTGTTGAGCCAACAGCGATTGAGTTGGATGAGGCAGCGAACGACGTCAAAGGGTGATGTATCCGTGGAGACGTGGAAACGGGGCAAGGCCACTGTATGGCCAGAGAAGAGGGCGATCAAAGGTTGAAATAACCCGCCCGTTGTCCAGTGTGCGCTAGAAGAGGGAGTAGCTCCTGCATTTGTGATTTGCTGGAATTATTCTATTCTATCACTCTCTGCCACTACGACTTGGCCTCTTTAGGAAAGCCTTGTCTTTTGCCCTACCACTGCGATGGTTACTTTGCTTAATGATGGGCTTAAGGCGAGAAGCGGAGGGTTGATAAGGCCAGGCAGAATAGGCAAGGCAACCGCACGACCGGGTACAGGAGCCACCCAATGGTCAATTGAATGCGCCGAAAAGAGGGCAGACACTTGATTGGGCTGGTACATCAGATCTTGGAGACTGCAGAGCACTCTTTCCACGTACAAGCGAGGATGTGTGCCTCAATCCACAATGCAAGCATTATTGGTGGGAGTGGAGACTCGAGAAGTGAGAGCTTATGCAGGCCGATTCTCAGCGCTCACTGACGCAAAATATTTCTACATAATCGTAATTCAGCTTTTACGTCTTGTTTTTCGTTTGGCGTTATTACTGCACGGCGCTTGCTTCACGATCAGTGGCCGTTTCGATAAGTGATACCCACGAGATTAGCTACTGATTGGACTTTACGATTTCTCCAAACGATTTTGCTTGGCAAAGAAGAGTCTTCGAGGGTTCATTATTCGTAGCTGCCAACTACGGGGATTTTATCTACAAAGGCTATCTGCCCTGGTGAAGGAGTTGTCCATCGCCCGTTCTGTTCCCGAACTTGGCCAGCCTTCCTGGCGCAGCTTTGTGGCAGTGTATGCAGGCGGACCAGTAGGCTATCTGCGTTATGGGTGGTACAGTGAGCCCATGATTGCATCCTTTAATTCCAGGCTGTGCCAATATTTGACTCCTTAGGTGCTAGTAGCATGATCATCCTGGTCGAGCCAACTCACTTTGCATGAAGGCGAGCGGCAAAGCCGTCTGGGCCGCATGGGTCGCAAATGAGAGCGACTGCCGTCCAATCAGGGTACTGACTGATAACACCTCACCATTTTGTAAACATGACCAGCGGCGACCTGCATGACCTGGATACGTGCAGTCAAGACAGGAGGCGGTGAGATCCGATGTGATGTTCAAAAGCTTGCTGAATCCTGTTCCCTTTTGGACTATCTCGTGATTGTTGTCTGCGCAAGGTGGCAAATCGCAACTTTCCTATGGTTTTCTCCCGGTCTTTCCCGCAGGTTGCTTTGTTTTTCTCGTCGTTGCCTTGAAATATTTTGGGAAGAGCAGGCAACTGGGTCGCAAACCTCTGGCATACCAATCCCTCGAACCTTGGAACTTATTTATTCATAATGTCGAGACAATTGCGATCCACCCCCAAGGTCCAGTGGCAAAGCAATAAGGACGGAAGCAGAAACGCATTCATCTCCGCATCCCAAGTAAGCTCTAGCCAGCTGAAAGAGTACCTCGACTCCAATTACCCAGGAGGATATTCCGTTCAGGTGCGCTCTTCTGGGTGAACAATATGCAGCACACTCACTAACGTATTCCGCTAGCTGAAGCGTGACAAATTCAAAATCACTATTGTCGAGACATCAATGGGACAAATGATCTGAGTAAGTTTCAAAAGCTTTGTCTCGCGCTGAGAAGGTTTAACGCGAGCTTCTGCAGCACCCTCGAAAGAACATTTGAACGTGCCGGTATTTCAGCACTAGGAGTTCAGCGATATTATTCCTGTTATGGCGTACTGCGAACCACGGTAGCCGTGACGCCACAATACTGCATACAAAGCCAGAGGAAGGCTTCACGGCGCAAAGACCAAGGCGTAATGGAGAACATGGCTTGAATGTGACCGAGTCAAAAACGTGCTGGAAATGGTTTTTGGGTACACGACCTCGGAAAATCAATTCATTTTAAAGCAATTTAGTCTTTAGTCAATCACCTTGACAACATGATACATGGCCCACTAAGGACCACGTGAGCTTTATTTATCGCCTGGATGTCCAGCTCAGTCTATCTTGCGGAATGTTGAACGAAATTTGGGCTACGTGGCCTCGGCATGACGGCAAAAGCTTTTTTTAAAAAAAAAAACTAACATGCTTTGTGCTCGTCGCTAAAGATACCGGCTTCATCCCACAGGTACGACCAGTAGCCGGCATGACGAAGGCCAGTCGACGTAAAAAGCGCAATACGTGTAAGAAGAATCAAAATCGCGATGGGGAATTACCGACACGCAGACCTCGAGGACTGTGTGACATTCCGCCCGAGATCCTCTTGATCGTGGCGAACCAACTGGCCGCCAACTCCCGAACGTCACTCGCTCTGGCCTGTAAGGGTTTCTTCGCCTTAATTTGCCCCGACCACAAATTTCTTACAATGGGAAAAGAAGATACAGTCAAACTTCTTTTACTCCTCGAAAAAGACGCTAAGAGACACTATCTTTGCTTCGGTTGCCTACGACTTCAGCCCTTCGATCGCAACAACAAATTTTAGTCGACGCAACCTCACCCAATATGCGACCACTTGGTCCACATGATCGCGGAGTCTCGGAAGCTACGCCTGGATTGGGAGAGAAGGGATTGCATAGACGAGACGGATTTTTTCCGATGGACTGAGACTGTGAGAACTCTCACATGGAAACCAGCCGTTCGAGGACCCGGGGGGAACGAGCCAACAATCACCTTCTCTGAAGCACGATTGGTCATGAAACGCCATTTTGATGGTCCTGGATACGGGCTCCCGATAGATTGCCTCGAGAGTACTGTCTATTTTGACCGGGACATATCCCTCCGTGACTGGAGCACGACAACACACTTTCCCCTCGAACAACATGTTTCAGAAAACAGGCGTAGTCTGTGGCTGCGGGGCACTATTCCACAGATTCAACGGCGTCTTGGACGTACGGCCACGTGTTTATCTGCGACGGACACAACGCGATGGGCTTTCATGCACAAGACCACCGCCAAAGTCATTGAAAACGAACTCTTCCTATGTCGCCATCACGAAGTTGTTGGGCCTCCCTGCGGATTGGATGCATTTACCAAGGTCATCGATAGCCTCGAACTTCCGGTTTGTAGACATATCCTTGGCTGCTCTTGCACTCAGTCACGGGGCTCGTCAGCCAATGCGTGTATTCCCGAGCTACATAGCTTGAGAATTATTGCAACCAACCCCCAATGGGATGTGCATCCCGATCGAGGAATCGGATCGTGTAAGACTTGCTTCACAGATTACGAGATCAATATCAAAAGGGGGGATGACCATCGCGGCTGGAGCCTCGAACTTACCACATATCATAGATTCGGGGCATGTCGGATGCCAGATGACGATTTTTGGACTTCACTTGTCGGCGCCTACGCCCCTATTTTTGAATCACGAATGGAGGTATCTGACTTTGGGTTTGGGTATGAGTATGAGTACATGTATTTGCCATCAAGCCGGGAGACGTTTGATAATCCAGGTACAGTACGCAGAGCATGGCTCAATCATCACGGAGAACGGGAGAAATTATCGAGGGATTGCCAACCGAGATGGAGTTGCGGCCTTAAATGCATGGTACAAACGCGGTTTCCAAGGTTTTCAGGCTCGCATCGATGTTATCGGAAATTCTTTCAACGCATCCTTGACGCCTCATATCCCGGTAAGGATTTGATACAGAAACCAGGAACTGTTGAGTACATTGGACCCTACTAAGTATTATGTAGCTGAAATTGACTCATGCCGTTTGATTAGTTTTTGGCTACCTTATTTCAAAGCTAATCTTGAATATTGATCAATCCTTCGGAAGATCATGCCCTGAGACCTTTCCAATTGCCAAGGTTTTCCCATCTCGGAGGACCGGGGCAACATTATGTACAGCGATGAAAGCTGTACAAATATCTCACAGTCACACATTGAAGGCATATCACCGCTTCATCATCATTAGAATAACTTCTTGACTGCAGTGTTGCATTAGACCTTCGAAGAGTCGAATAACGTTGTATCAGGCTTTTCAAGACAGACAATTGCTTTTTGCAATTTGCATAAGGTATTAACCTCACAGCCTTGATTAAACTTGAATGATCAGTGGTAGCATAACACTTCAATGATGCTCGAAGGAAAGTTCATTCTCCTGAGAGGCGTTAGTAGATGGATTGCAAAAGGCTCGCGGTACCAGAGCCGCCTTCCGACTGGGATGACTTCGTTTGCGAGTCACGTCGCAATCAAGTAAACAAAGATAGATAGAGAAGCAAACCGCGTTCGGGTCGGCGAGCCATTGTGTGAGTTTGAAGATGAAGGCCACCTCAGCTTGGACGGTTAGAGTAGGAAACCCAGCCGTGGGATCTGATGGCCGCGAGCGGGACATGGTGTTGGTCGTTGGCGGTCGGTGTGGAATTGGGCGATGTGTGTGTGTGTGTGTGTGTGCGTGGACGGAGATGAGCAAGAACGATGGGGTGAAAGGACGATGGTGACCAAGGACGAAGATTGGAATTCATCTAATATGTACTCTGTAATATTCAGATCCGGAAGGCCCTGGCGAACGTTCTTGCCATCTCCAGGTGCTTCGGAAAGGCTCCCCCGCCTTTGAGGCAAGTGCACGAAATTTCTGTTGCTCTTTCCCTTTGAGAATCTGACACCTGAAGTGAGATCGGTTCGCATTCAACACAAAGATCAATTGCAATGTGGTTTCTTTCTCCTGCATGGACTCAACCTGCATGGAAGGCGGCGAACAAAGCAGACACGTCTAGACACAGATGCC